ACTAATTGAGAAAAAAGTCTATTTTATATATTCATGATATCTACAGCAGACCTTATGCACTGTCATATATATTAATCAACTCAAAAAAATAATGATATTCATTATCTTTCAAAGTATAACTTGATCAATTTTGCAAAAACTTCTAGAAAATCTTATGCCTGCTGTCCTCGATTACTAAGGTCTGTAATGGGGGCTTTCGTTGCCAACTGTCTATAATGGGGAGGAAGGGTGGGGCGCAGAGCCACAAAAACATGATCTTAAAATTTATACTCCCTATTGTCTTCGAAAATATATGCGAGTTCTACAAAACTTGCACTAAACCATTATCTTTTTGAGTATGTAACTAGAAATTTCTGTTATTGTTTAAAGAGAACAAATACACATGAAAGCTTTCAAAATGCACATTGTCACATTGATGTGTCTAGGAATGAGATGTTAAGAACGTCGACGCTGTCTAAATGCAATGCGAAAGATGGTGAAGAACAAAAGCATATGGAGGCTAATCCTATGTATATCTGCCCAGGTGAAGACAAGAAATTCGCCACGCATTCAGACTGTTTGCGACCGTTCCGAATACACGCCGTTCCCAAACTTTGTCCTGTGGCAATGTATTGAGAAGATGCAGGATTTCCTTCTATGCTCACGGGCAGCGCAAAAAATCACCTTTCCATGAAAAAAATCATGAAAAGACCGCCCTAGCCGGATGTCGGAAAAGCATTCATCTTAAAACTAACTAACAAGCACAAAAGACTGACCCTAGGGATTAAGTTTTACATTTTTAGGGATTAAAGTCTTCAGACGATTTGATGACCCAACTTATTTTTCGACAATAGCCGATGTTGAAAAGACCAAAAATGTTGCGAAAAAAACAAGCTTCTATCTGGTCGAATGTTTCAACTAGAAAATTTGATTAATACAATCACTGTCTTATATTGAGAATAGTCACTGGAATATAGAGATTATCCATGTTTTTTTCGTTGATTTTCACATACCTCTTCCTGCCTATCAGTTCTATTTACTGCTTACATTTCAAGATTCCAGAATGACTTTTGACTATGCTGCAGAGTGTTGAAACATCATTGTCTGCTATTTTCACGATTACACAAAACTCTCGAAATGGCCTCATGTATATCTCATCTTGTACAGCGTCACGAGTTGTGACTATAGTATAAAAATTACGAGCTTTCGATGTTCTGTTCCAGAGATAAAGCTACCACAAGTTTTAGACCCGTTACAGAACTCGGAAAGTGACCGAAGTTCTATGATCAATATTGTTCTAAGACAGTTAGAACTCAAATGGATTCTGAGTATGGATCTTTGTTCCTTACAGCCTGTCATATTTGTGCAGATACGATTTGATGCGCTATTGGATAAGGTAGGAACCAGAACCTCTTGAACGTACTCGAAAATACTGCTCAAAAGTCGATCAAGAAAAAAAAATCTCTTGAACAAATTTCGGACACCTAATGACCTAGAAGGATTTGTAGGATGAGGCTTAATCTAACCAATTCCATAAGTAGGACTCTTGAACTTGGCAGAAAAATTAAGATGTAGACATCACCTTTTTTACAACAAAGTACGCTCATGCTAAACCATTACCTTTTTCCACCGGATTCTCTCACGAATCTTATTTAAGGTTCTGTTTGACATGGATTGAAAAGTTGATCATCAGGCATCATGGACCAGCTATTAAAATCTCATGCAATCAATAAAAACTCAGTAATGTTCATTCCGCTACTATACTTCTTTGATGGTCGATCACCAGCAATACTTATCTCTATGTTGTGGAGCTGTTCAGCTTGTTTTTTTTGCTGCTGTCTACCGATCGAAGATGGAACGTGAAATTTAATCAACAAAAATGAGATTCAATATCAATGTTTTCTTGCTCGCTATGATAAGACTACATGTTACGTACAGATCTTTGTTCTTCTTATGATAAAGAATTTTATTTCTATCTGGAAAAAATGAAGAATTAAAATAACCGACGGAGAAGTGTGCGTGTTTGTGCCACTGGGCATGAAATTTAGTTATATCATTTGGAGTGTGTTGCCATTCTTGACTCCTGCCTATCAATTGTTGTATTATGTGTGTAAATCGAATAGAAACTTCTTTCAAATATGGTTTAGAAAGTTTTCAATAAAAATTTTCATATGATCTACTTTCTGGTTGTTCATGAATGAAGTTTAAACATATTTTCATGTTTTCCTAACTTTCCTTTCGAATGACGAAGACCACATGTTGTTAACTTCATCCAATTTCGAATTACTCAAAACAGCTTTACGCATCTTCTTTTTTGAAATCAAGAATAGTTCATTCTAATGTATTTAAGTCGGCTAACTGCACGAAGTGCAGGCAGAGCCGACTTATTGCTTTTCACTAGCTTAGTTGCCATGGCAAATTCTTCTTCTTCTTCTTCTTCTTCTCAACACATGAGTCACGATTCAAGTCAACCACTCGTTCTCAGCTCCTGATTATTATTTTTAGTCGAAAAAAATAAAAAAATTCTGTTCGAAATGCAGAAATTANGAACACGCGCACAAAAGATCAATTTCATTACATTCTTAGCAAATCGTTGTCGACTGGTAAGCAATGACATGGCCATCATTTTGATAGTTGATGCCGCCGCATAAAAAGCAAAATTGAGAAAGACCGGATTGTTGAGTGCATAGTAAAGTGTCGACATAACGTTCTAGAATATGATGATCTAGGTGAAAACAATCAAGAGCAGCTGAAGAATACAACTATTTTAATGCAATGGCTTACACAACTCGTTAAAAGATTGTCAAAGGAAGAGATCGTGTGGTCAAGAGATAAATCCAGCAAAATAAATATTGATAAAGTACTCGCGACATTTTATTATATTCTTGTTGTCTTTCTTCAAGTTTTATGGTGATGCGTTGCACAAAAGATAACAATCTTATAACAATGTATGCAAAGCAACATATACCTGGACAAATGATTTGCAGTCAATATTCTTATCATATCTTTAGTGTAAAAATGTGTTTTAGAAAACGTATTTCTCTATCATCCTGCATCTTTAGGTCTTTACTTGCACTTATTTGCTAACAGATATGCCAAGAACAGTGAACATCCTCTTATCATCAGCTTTCCACGAACTGAATCTATCTCCTTTGTCAATTCAGGGTGTGGGCGTTAATGTCAGCCTTTTTTTTCGTCCACACTCATACCCATCCGAAAAATCCAGAAGTTCCAGATCTGAAAATCCAAAGATCCTTAATTGAGTGGTTAGAAAAACCAAAATAGGATGCGACATGGCTGTTACGATCAGTGAGAGGTGAGGGAGGGTCGAATTGTCTCGCTCTAGTCTTCAATACTCATTTTCAATTGTGTTTCACAAAACTGATGCATTAGCAATATAAAAACATTATCCATTAAGTATTTAATGGAAAAACATAGTATATCTACTTAAAGACCAAACTATAAATTCAGAAATAGATTTTTCAAGTCCAAAAAAGAGATAAACAGCTGCATCAATTGGAAAGAGAGTTCGTTCTTGAAAATATGACTGTCATCGTTCATTAAAACAGCATGAAAGAACATTTGTTTAATATTATTCTTCAGTTCGTAGTTAGTATCATGGTTTCATAATTGAAAATTTCACATTGTCACATATACAATAGTGTTCATTGATAGTTGCATTACTGTGTACCGTCGATACAAATGTGATCAGAATTGTGAACACTACGAACATCAGAATAAACTATATAGGAAATTCTTATAGATTGAACATGTTGTCCATTGTGAGTTTCTAAAAAATAAAGATAAACAAAGTAAAAGGATACAAAATAGAAATAGTCTGGTTCTTTTTCAGCTTTATAAATGCTTTTAGATCGTAAACCATTTCAATAAATGAAACATAACTCAATAGAGCTATATTGCTTGCTGAAACATTAAAAATTGGCCCATGCTTCATAACAAGCAGTATGAGTTGAAGTCAATAGAGAGAAACTTTCAAGTCCAATAAATTGATGCACAAACGCAACCCTTCTGGATGTGTTAAATAACGTGAATCGGAAATAACATTTACCGAAATTTTCTGTCTGACTTTGATTAGTCTAGGTAAACACATTTATATCTCTACCATTTGCAACATTCCAACCATTCAATATATTGGGACCATTCTTTGTGCACTAGGAAATAGAATAATATTAGAAAAATATATTAACCATATCCAACAACATTTGATTTTCTTTCTGTTAGAGATCATGAAATGGAATGCACTATATGTATTCCAAAATTTTTTTTTTATTAACTTCATGTAAAATAAATCCATAATAATCTCTTGAGACTTTGAATTTTTATCTGTTCATTCAGTTCTGCAATAGGCATGCAAGCAATATACTTTCTTACGAGATTACAAAAGGCATCTATTCATAGTTAAGGCATTTGAAATTTGTATTATGACTCAATTTCCATCATGATAAGGTTATGAGACCAACGGAATAATTATATAAGGTTAATGAAGATTGTTGCATCTATTTCATCCTTCAATAATGAAAATCCAATATAACCATCATCTCTTCTTTGAACTTTAGAGAAAAACAAAAGCAACAACTTATTAATCCAAGAGTATTTCTCTACTTTTGAATAGCATATGTAATTCTTTGACGATGTAATTAGTAGGTATTTATGTACAGATAGAGTTACTTCATAATGCAATATTAATATTTGATGTATGTTTATCGATTGATAGTAACTTTTGTGAGGAAAGAAAATACAATAAATATTTGAGATGAGCTCGACAACCGTCTTATCATCAAATTGAAAATAATCAAATTTAAACTTACATTTTGCTCGTCATCACCATTCACAACCAGATTATCCGTTCGGATAGATTTCCATGTTCCATTGCGTAGAACGCAATTATATAATGTAGAATTACGCAACTGTTCATTGGATACGACTGCTCGTGATAGATTTGCATTTGTGAAATTGATAGTGTTTTCAGCCCAAAGAACATCAGTAAAATCATATTCTATCTATGATGCTCCTAAAAAATACGTATAGAAAAACTTTGTATTACTGAAATTAGCTTTATCCAAAAAGGTGAATTTAAACCATGTTCGTGTCAAATGTGTACGGAAAAATAATGCCTTATACATCGTTAAACTTGAAAAATTCGAACGATCAATGTAACAGTCAATAAATGATGAATTTGATAAATAAGCACCATATAAATTAAGACGTGAAAATGAACATTTAGTTTCAAGACTTCCTTTAAAATAAATTCCATTAAAATCTGCATCAGTCAATTTTAATAAAAATAAATATGGTAGTTCTGAATAACAATAAATCAATTCACTCTCATAAAGAAACAATAATAAATGTTTTTTTTCTCTGGATCCAACTGTCGAAGAGCTGTCAATGTTTTCGGACGAACTTGAACCAAACTTTTTGTTTGGTTTTCTAATATTAAAAGTTTCGAAAAGATCATCGAGATATGTTGCAGATACAATTTCTTTTTGTACATTTTCTGCTCTTCGTTTTGATTGTTGTCTTAAAAGAAGTGCATCTTGTTGATCTTGCTCTCGTTGTTGAATAGAAATTTTTTGTTGTAAAATTGTAATAACTATTGTATATATACCAATCATTAATGAAATTAAGGCCGATAAAAATAACTTTATCCATTCATGATAATTGAATTCGGATTTACTTTTAACACTATGATAGTTATTTTTAATCGTACGGTTCGTTATGTGATTGAACGTCGTCGAAGCACTCCCAATTACTGTCTAAGAGATAAAGTTTTGTCCTGACTCAAATAGTGACATTTAATCAACGAAAGTATATATAATCTCTTTCTCTAGTGTTTGTGAATGTGCAAAACATAAGTGTATATCTATCGCTGGCCTAGGTTTGGAAAAAGTAACACAGGAAACTAATTTATGAACAAACTCTGCTTTCTTATATTCAATGTTCTCAAACGATGTGAGGGAAGTTAATGGTTTGCAGACAAGGAAACATATGTAACTGTTAGGTGTCATTCGACTTTATATTATGTATACGAATAGATATCTATGAACATGAGAAAAGTTTAAAAGAATTCAGACCCCCGACCAATTGCTGATTAGTACTGCCTGATGCAATGCAATTTTCATTAAGATAGAAACATTTCTAAAAGACTAAAAAACCGAGAATTTTTACCTGAATTTTTATCCACAAGTTTATTTAATAGTTATTCGATAGTTCTAAAAGTTTCAAACAAAGCGACCACATTTTTTTAAGATATTCAATTTCCAAAAAAAAAAACAAGAGGTTTACCATAGGCTTATCTAATGACTATTGCATTAGCTTGTAGATAAAAAATTTTCGGTTTTTGTTCTTTCAGAATGCGTCTATCTTAATGGAAATTTCATTGCAACAACCAGAGCTAATCAGAAGTCGGTCGTGGGTCTGAACTCTTTTAACCTTTTCTCATTCTCATAGATATCTACTCGTAGATATAATATGAAATCGAATGACATCTGACAGTTGCATATGTTGCCTTGTCTGTGTACTATTAGTTTTCCTCATCTCGCTTGAGAACATTGAATATACGATGATAGAGTTGATAATTAGTCAATAAGTGTTTGTCTTGAATATCAAATATGTATCTAAATTTGTACTTTTGACTTTTTCATCTGTTTATCCACGATATGAAAAATTGATTTTAATAATATTTTGTTGACATATGGATAAAATATGCAAAAGTTTCAACTAAAAAAAAAATATCAAATTAGATTAATTGATAAGATTTACTTCATATAGAAAATGTTTGAACATGCATACAAGTAAAAACGCTCGTTTATATAGAAAATCAATAGTTATTCATTCGATGATACAATGTTTTATTCTTTGGTTCCCGGTGTTGCATTAATATGAGCGACAGGAGTTTCAGCAATCGTAAATTGATCACCTGAAAGCCAACCTTGATTTTCTCTATCGGCTTTCTTGCGTGGATCAATATCTAGTGTGTCATCACCAGTTCTATGAGCCTCGGCGATAGCAGCTGCTAACGCTGTCTTGTCATCTATTAACAATAATTATCAACATTATACAAAAAAAACTGTTGCTAGAAAATTTACCTTTTTGTGTTGAACTCATTATTTGTTTGTTGGCTTAATTGTACGTAGTTGTTTCTGAAGAAAATGATGAATTCTCTCGAATAGCTACTTATTGCGTTTTCTCTTTTTCTCGTTACTAACGGATAGTCTCTTAAATAGCACCATTTATATACAATCAGTATATTCACAACAGCAGAACAGAAAATATGTACATAATAATCTCGATTACGCAGAAAACGTACGCTGGCGTATATTTACATATCGATATTCTAGCGCGTAATCAGCAAATCAGAAATGATGAGTGGAAGAATCAGGTTTCTTTCTTATCGAGGCACAGGTCATCGGGAACAAAATATATTTTGTCTTTCTTACACTGAAGGCTAGCTATTTATAGATGTTGTATCTTGAATGAGAGAAGAAGACATTCAGAGGTTGTTTACCAATACACAGATATTTGTTAGATAAGAAAAAAATGCATTAATGAGAATCATTCTGAAAAATAATATAAAAAATGATTGATTATCTTTTGATGCTATGGATTCGTTTTATTTTTGAATGAATGATAATAATACAGTGTAACTTTCATTTTTACGAACAGAAATTTTCAACTTGTTTTCTAGTAATTATGGTCATGATCAGCTCAAATACATCATTTGCGTGAGTGTGGGTCTTATTGTGATATTGTCATTGATTAAGTCTTTTTTCTTAAAAAACTTATTATTATTGTTATTGAAGAATTATATACTTGAATGTATGATTGATTCATTAAAAGTCATACATTTATATTTTATGCAAGATGATGCTCATTGATACATGTATATGTTTATGAACTAGTTAATATTATCGATTAAAATAGATTTTTTTCTGTTTTTGTTTCCGTATTTTGATATTCCAGATGTTATTGTTGTTTCGTAATAAATAATTAAGCATAGGTGGCAAATGACGTCTTTTAAGTTGATGATGACTGTACTAATTAGAGAAGAAAAAAACAGATCGAAAAGTCCTATTCGTAAAATAAAAACTATACTACATCATTATCATTCATTATTTTATTTCTCGATTGTTGCTAATCTAGCATAAAAATATAAAAGAATTGTTTTAGTACGATGAACATTATTTCAATTAATCTGAAATTCGACTCTTAAAATAAATAATTTATTGCTTCATGAAATGATTAATTTAGCATCTTATTCTCTTTTGAAGCGAACGAGCATCAATATTGAAACAATTTTTTTTTTGTCCGTAGATCTTGAATCGATCTCACATTACTCATTTTGATATACTTAGTCGCAATAATGATTCATATTGATGCGTAAATTGGTTGAAATTGATCGTATTTCGCTGCTATTGCAATTGATGTTAAGGAAAAGAGAAAGAAAAACAGTATTTCGAGTTATTTTTAGCAGTCAGTTGTTGATCGTAGTCATTGATAAAACGAACATTTTTTTTTTCTATCATCAACTAGATAATTTGTTTTAATTAATATGTGTAAAGTGCTTAGGATTGGATTATCTAAATGTTGGTATGTGTATCGATGTGCCTGAAGACGAAAAGAATAACATAAGTCACCCACATCATATCTGTAACTAATCTCTTCAGTTGTACCTATATCAACACAAAAAATTCATTAAATAATGACAGACTTGTTCAAATACATTCCATATTTTGGTATCTGAATAAAAGCCAAAATGATCAAGATTACTTCTTATGGTACTAGTAAAAAGAACAGGATCTTGTAGAATGATTGAAATATGACGTTGAACATCGTCTAATACAATAGATCCTATGTCAATATCATCAATAATACTATAACCATCCACAAGTGTATCGATTCGACAAAGAATTTGAATAAATGTACTTTAACTAGCTCCTGTTCTTCTAATAATAGCAATTTTTTTTAATCAGGTTTAACTACTAATGAAATGTGATTCTTTCGAATGAGGTATGGAAAAATTTTCAAAAACAATGCAATATTTTGATGGTCAATTCGTTGGCAGTTGAGTAGATGATTCTTGATCAAGGAAACAATATTCATCTACTCGTCCGATCGATGTTATATGAGATTTAACTTCCACTTGATTGTCTAGAATAAACAAGATTGAGACTGTAGGTGAACATAAAAGCAATTTCTAGAGCTGAAACTTTCACAAGCAAATATAATAAGTCTAATAACCAAAGCAATAAAGATTAGAGTTATCCAATCGAAAAGAAGCGCTGACCATCTATTCAATGTTGCAAGTGAAGAGCATGATACTTAAGATTAAAGAATTTTGAGTCCAATTGTGAACAAACAGGACTTTGTGTAGTTCTTACAAGTCGTTTTAAAATCAAAACTAGAATAATTGTACCCAAAACTTAAGATAAACGCTTAGAAAATATATGTCTACACTAACTTAGACTAAAAACAAATAACATTTATCACAAGAAAATTGAATACAGCCATTTGTAGAGAATCATGTATCGCAGTCATATTGCTTGTAAAACGATTGAATATTCAATCTGTGAAAAAAGAATATTGAAACGAAATTCGAACTCGTATTCATCATTGTTCAATACACGAACTCTTTCGATTTCCAGAATATTGAACATCTATCAAATTATAAGTATGCTTAGCAAATAACTGTTAAATGATAATGAAAGACTCCGACTCAATCACGTAATGATACCCAGTCACAAAGAATTCCTGGATCAATATTTTTCGTTAAGTTACCAATGTATTCCATAGTCGACCTCAGTTTATATGCTCTGAAGGCAAGATAAAAAAAAAGGAGTCTGTGACCGTCTCTGATTCAAATTAATTTTGAAAAAAGCTATAAATAGATTATGTCTTTTTTTTGTTGTTGATCACATGAATAATATCAAGTGAATTTTACACTAAATATCCTTCATTTTTCTGGAAAAATATTATCTAATTCCTATAAACTACTGTAGAAACAATTACAATAAAACCTCTGTAATAAAGGCCTCATACATTTTCATCTCTCCCTACTCTGAATACGTACATTGTTTTTACAGTTCCACTTGTTATATGAATACACATGTACGCTGTTCTCTTCTTAGTGCTGTCTGCCATTTGTGTATAGTCTACTAAAACTGAGTACTACTCATATTTTATCATAACAATATGTATTAGCAAAAAAGAATGATATTACCATAGTAGTTAATATTACATTGAAAAGAGTGAATTATTTGATGAACATGAAAATTTTGATGCAATAAAGTTCAATAAATAAGTATCCATGAATGCTTTAACAACTGTGAAAATTTTTGGTTGTGATTTCAATAAAAAAGATGATGTAAACAATAGTTGTAATCCTATATCTACAAATATTTCATAAAAAAAAAATAATGGAATCAAATAAATTCAATGAAAGGAATATTAACAACAGATTAAGAATTTTCTCAGTACTTGAGGTCGAGTATAGAAGATATTCATATAACACAGAATTGACTGTAATAAAAATGTTTAGACGTAAAAATGTTTTAAAATTTATTCTTCACATGTAAGAATGCTCAGTTATTTAAAACTATTTATTTTTGTAATTGAATGTGTATATTTCTAAATCTTTATTTTTGAACCATTTTTTTTCTCTTCCTATCATATATATACATGTTAAATAATAGTATATAAGATAACAATCAAAACGTTTTTATAAGAAAAGAAAAAAAGTATATAAGTTATAAATTTTGTTTTTGTTTTCTTTGTCAAAGAAATTTATTGCAAATAATCAGCAATGAACAGAGATAAAGAAGCTCGTTTAGAGAATTTCATCAGATTTAGAAAACTAATCAATAGTTAATGACTCAATTAAACATTAAAGGAAAACAAATGAAATGTATATTATTTTAAAATGAAGCTATAGCAATATTGCTTGTTCTACATACTATCATTGTTTAGCATGATTGTCTTGTTCATACGGGACTAAAATATGATTTTTATTTAAGAAAAAAAATTAAAATGAAGTGGCGGTTAAAAGTTTGAAGCAAATGTATTTTCTAGTTTTCTCCTTGACGATCATACCTAGAAAATGCATGAAGACAAGTATGAAAGAAGAAAAAGAATTAGCAAAAAAGTCATATATTGTAGTTTATTTTTAATTGAGTGAGCAGATTGAGTAGCATCAGAATAGATGACGCTTTCATAGTGTAATCTGTTTGGATCAAACCATATGTGTAATTATTGCTTAATTGAAACAAAATCATGAATCACTCTAAATAATTTTTGATTTCTGAGTATAATAAGTTGTTATTTCTATTTGCGTCTTGTTCTTTTTTTTTTTTCTTTTCTATTCTGTATGCTATGAAAAGGAACTGGAAATGAATAAGAATAGTTTTTTCACGTGCCTATGTTTGGTTATTCGTATGTACATAGAGTATATGTACAGCAAGTATGAATGATAAGGAACCATAAAAAAAAAACGGGAAACAAGTACGTACTTGCATAGTGGATATAATGTATGAAGGCAACAAAAATATAGCAATTTGAAACAAAGAAAATATGATTTGTTTCCTTTTGGCGGATGTTCTATGACTAGAGAATGAATGAGATCAGCATATGTATTTATCTGACATCGACGGGTATATTTTTAATAATACTTTCATTTGTCTTTAGTAGTTGCATAGAATAATATTCTCAGACAGTATTTAGTGCTTTGTTAGGTCGAAAAATGCTCATTTGGTGGCCTCTCGTATTTTATATTTCATGGTTCTGAACAAACGACAAGCACTTGATCAGACTCCAGTGTCTTCTTGACAGTATCTACCATACAAAATAACGTGCGTCGAGTAGAAAATTTTGATGTTTCGCACTAGTTATTCATTCGTTAGTGTCAATTAATTTCAAAATAAAAAAATGTATGCGAAGGTCTCATTATACCATGTCATTTAACGCTATTTACTTGCTTGATGTATTTTTTTTCTTTTTTCTTTTTTTTCGGCCACTGAAAAAAAATCATTAGTCAATTACTGTATGAATAATCGAGATGAGAAAATTTATGAGTGACAACATATTTTCTAGCTGAGCGACAGATGTTTTTTGTGAGAAGAGACTATACGCATAAAAAGCCGTTTTATGGAGCAGGTATATAGAACTTTTCTACTCTGTTCCAAAATTCTGTTTTAGATAGTTATAATTTCGAGCACTCTTCAAAACAAAAAACATGTCGTGGATAATCGAAGAAAGTAACGATGCATCTTCAGCTATTAACGTTCAAGGTAATACCGTTACCTGTCAGAAAGAAGATTTCTATGGCAGTCCGATCAATGTACTTTGGAAAGATCCGGCTGATAAATCGGGACTTTACTATTGGCAAATTGAATTTTTACAGTTAGATAAACAGGGAAACGCTAGTGTTGGTCTAACTACACAGGATCATTTCAAAGCTGGCTATGCCATCAAATCAATGGAATATAACGGTAAGCGAATGAATCTTCGTTCAGATTCAAAAGTCTCAAGGTCAGAGCGATTTCATATTTCTCTGTTCGTAGAAACATTTACTTACATTACTGCTTAAGTTCTCGCTACTTTTAGGTAACTTAGCTGACGGTAGTGCTTTCTTGGTTGGATCATTTGGTGACCGTATTAAACAAGGTGACAATATTGGCATTTTGCTCAATTTGACTGACAGTGAAATGAAAGTACATTTGTTTCTCAACGGCCAACCATTAGGCTTGGCATTCCATGTACAAGCCCCGTTTCCAAAACCTTTGTTTCCAGGTGATTATTTTTGCCCCTTTCATTAAATGTTTAGTTTAGTTTTTCAATCTCTGTTATTAATGTAGTCGTCAGCTTCAGTGCAAATGGTGAAGCTACAATTATTCGTTTAAAACAAGTTCCAACCTCGCTCGATCGACAAGAGGAACAATTCAATGGTATCGAAGGTCATTGGAAACTGGTTGACTATCCTCAACACAGTGACTGTACTGGCTATCATTTTCATCTGTTTAAAAAAGATGGAACGGATAATAATGTCTACAGTCTGTCGACTCGTGTTATAAACACTATGAATAGCATCCTTTGTCATGATCCGTCTACAAATCAATGGCAAAGTCAAAGCGGTATGTCAACAATGATGGGAGGAGATCAAGAATCCATGCGAAAGGAAGGTGTGATCAGTGAACTGACCAATGGTATAACGGGTGTTGAGCTACAAGGACAAAAATTGGTTATAACATCGAATGGAAATCAAGTGAAACTTGAACGGTATACACCGGAACCTCCACAAACATACACGAAAAATGTTTTCGCAAGAGAATATTAACTGCTAGATTTACAGTTACAAAAAGGACTACATAGAAGTATGCTAATTTTACTTGTAGAGCTTTTATTAACACGCGCATACATTTATTCAAGTTAAATAAAACAACGTTTTGGTTTAATCTCTCTTTGCTTAATTGTGTGAGTAAATGCAGTGTTACGGACTATTGACATTAGTTCGATAAGAATTGTTGTAATACTAGTGAATATTTGAATAGGATGTGACTGTGAGTATGTCTCTTTCTTTTATCTACATTCACGCCGATACCCACACTCATACTTGTGTCTTCAGAATATTGAATTTTAATGGGTTTATAACAAAAGTTATTATTTGTCTTTTGTTTCATTAATACCTCACTACCAATCTGAAAAAAAAAAACTATATAGTAATCTAAAAGCGTATTTTGTATAAAATTTAAGAAATGAACTTGAGAAAATTCTTGTTTATATGTTTAAATAAATATTTAATTTTACTCGAAAAATAAACAGTTGACAATGAAAAGTCGTTTTCTATTTTTTAAAGTGATTATCTACTAAAGCAATATGAATGGCTCACTAAAAAAGAATGAAGGATAAAATAGTTATCTTCTTTGATTTTTATTCAATTACATCATTTTTCTTTTTTTACGCAACTTTATTCTATTTCTGTACGTACTAGTGCATAGGTGCTGTGCTAAATGTTCCACCAACAAACGCAGATGAGTACTACATTGAATGCTCATGCTTTCGTGTGCAAGTAAAACATAGAGAAACGACTTATATGAGTACTCGCTTGATAAGTATTTTCACTAGAGTAGCGTTAACCTCAAGTTCAACATCGATGAAACAAACAAGAGCATAAAGAAATGTACACCAGAAGAAGCAACATTTGTCACAAAAATATATACAAAAAAAAAAATATTACAAGCCAACTTGAGAATCATGAATTATCATCTGATTTTTCTTTTTAGTGTTGCTCAGTATTGATGCAAATATTTGCCAATAGTAAAGCAAGTGCTCTTGAAAATTATTGAAGTCTGTTGACAATCTTTTTATTCTACAGGGTATCCCGTAAATATCTTTACGATAAAAAATCGAAATATATCCACTTCGATTCGATCGAACTGACTGATTGTTTTATCAGTGGTCAAAGTTTATTCGGATAAGGTCAACAAACGCATCTATTAAAGTATTATTGCTGACCTTGCTAAAGCAATTTTACTTTTTGGTAAATAAAAGAAGATACATGTGAAGTGTTCCATAGATAATCTTCAGTTGTCATCTCAGAGGATAACAAGAAGAAGTGAAAACAAACTTTATCAATGATCCTCCATTGATACACATAGAACACATTTTTGAAACTAGCTAATTGAAATGCTGCACTTCTTGCCCAATAACTAAACACACAGTAAAAATCTTTTGAGCATCAAATCATCAACTTCTTTGCAAAAACTTGTGCTTCATGCTTGAAACTTCGAAACATTGTAGCCGTTAACTTTTAAAATAACTATTTTTGAAAATTTGCTCTATATGTATCAATAGAGTATCATTAATAAAGTTTGCTTTCACTTCTTATTATTCCCTTGGATGGCAACTGAAAATTATCTATAAAATACTTCGCATGTATTTTTCTTATTATTAGTATTTTTTAGTACTATGACCATGCCGGTCCTAACGAGACAATTGAGCTTTAGGATCATTGATTCAAATAGTGAACTAGATTAAAATAAAATTAGAGGAAAAAAAGAACAGCAGTGTCAAGAATGAGGCAACAAATGTGGTATGAAGAGAGAAAAGAAACAATATCAAAATTGTGAAGATATTATGCTTTAAAGAGATGAGTAATACGTATATATATGTATTTTTGACTCGGACTACAATCCTCAATCTACGTTTTTTTTCTTCTCTTCTTTTTTTGTCAGTCTGGCATAGAATCGACTGTCTAGAAACTTTCTGGAAATAAAGCAAAGTATAAAAATTCACGGACTCTTAAGTCATATGTGTTGTCATCTATCTAAGTGTTTGTCCCAGTACATTCATGTGTGACATGACTCTTTTTGATCTGTGTAGACAGCAATACGTCCTGCTCTCTCTTGTCATTCTGACATATGCTCATTCAATTTCAATTGTTCCACCAACAGGCATCCATTCTTAAACTACGACAGTGCCTTTGCACACCTTTCTCAGAATGCATAGCAGAGATCATCCAATGATTGTTCATTATAAGTAGAGGAGAAGATGAAATCCTCTCAATATTAACAGTGATATACTCGTTTTAGTAGCGTGTAATATGAATGATTAAGTTCAATTCGTTGAGATTCAATAAATAAAGGATAGAGCCCAAATAACCAAGTGAAATGTAATAATACGAAATTGGAAAAGAGAATTCGTCATAGCTGTTTAGAGGATGTACCACTAATTCTGAACAAGTTCAACAATGCAGTTCGCTGTTACTTGCCGAAAGGTAAAATTTCTTTAGTGAAGTCAACAATAATACTTAATGGATGTATTTGCTTACATTATTCGTATGAAAAAAAACTTCTGAAGAAAAATTTCTATCACTGATCAAAAACTCAGGCCGTTCGATAGAATCGAAGCGGATGTGTTTCAATTTTTTTATCGTGCAGATATTTATGAGATACCCTGTAGATCAATGAGGAGAATTATTTTTAATTATTGGTAAGGTGTGTGAATCAGCTATAACTTGCAAATTATGAGTTCTTCATTTAATTTCTCATGTTAGGTGATATCAAACGATTGATAATCTTTGGCTCAAACTAGAGTTTACGATTTTTTTTTATCATTTTGCAATGAGATTCGTGTTGAAGGGACGTTCAATAATCGGCAATGCTCATTCTGATCTGACTTACTGAAAAAAGAATTATTCGAGGCTGAGTAGATGGAGTACATTTTTATGCTATTTAAATATTCCATGTCAAACTCACATTAGGTTTGGAAAAATGTTTTTAATAGTTGTCTGTCCTCATAGTTTAGTATGACCTAAGATATTTGAATTTTGCAAGCAACAAGTCATCTTCATGATCTAATTTCTAATATCTATGAAGATCGTTTCAAAATGGTTTGAATTAGTAGGTAATGATAGATAAACATCTGTTTACTTAATTTCTGCACGATCATGCTATTAATTTTTGTCTTTCATAGAACTATTAAAAAGAAAAGAATATTTATTTACAACAAGCAAAGATTGATTATAAGAAAATATCTATCAATAATGATGTTGACAATGCGATGGTATATTACTTTTCGAATTATGGTTGAAATAATAATCTTTGACTTTTTGCGGTGATTCAACAAATACTAATGCCATACCAAGCTGTAGATGCCAATCATTATGACAATGCATCATCCATATACCAGGATTATCTGCTTTAAAACGAAAAACAATGTATGAAAATGGATTAACTGTATATGTGTCACGATATACTGGATTGATAGTATTATAAACAATGTTTATTCGTGTCGATTCATTAAAATAACCATCTCTAGCTTGACCTGATGCTAATAACCATGCATGATGACCATGCAAATGAAATGGATGTGAACCATAATCAATATTATTAATAATAACATCAATAATCTCATCGGAGTCAATATTTATAATCCACGATGACGTGAGTTGTTCAAAGTTATCGAAAAGAAGTGATGATAATAGACTAGTATTTATTGGATGTACAAATGTTGCATTATTAAAATAGAAATGACCTGGACGTCCTCCACGAAATTGAGAATTAAAAATAAAAGTTTTTATTTTTTCGCTAGTCGGAACACGATTTTCAGCAATATTAATTGGACTCAATCCTGATTCATCGCTCATTATTTGTCCATCAATCAATGATTTCTGTATGATATTCTCATCATTATTGAATGTATCCATCGACGGTATAATAATAGAAACATTGATATTCTTCTCATTGATATACTGTAGAACAGCACGCACATTCGGTTGAATAGGTGCAGTATACTTACCACTATCATCGACAAATGAATGAATTATTGCACGTATCCAATAACTTGATGCAGGATTTTGTTTTGCTATAATCAAGACTGAATATCGTTGACCAGGATTCAGACGAAGACTTCTAACATATTTTTTTCCATCTAAACTAATTCCATCTGCTTCAATTACTCTCATATCATGCTGATCGATTGTCAATGTTATCGTAGCATAAACAGATGTGTTTATTATACAATATCGTTTTGTTGTACCTTCTCGAATAGTCGCTCGATAGTAGGAACATGGATTAGACAATGTGCAATTAAATTGTCCGATACCATTTATGAGACCTGTATCCGGAACTGGATCCATTGTACCAGGATTTAAATAAGGTTTTAGAAGTATGTACAAAGGAGTATGATACCAGTCAGTTAATTGAAGAATGTCCTCATCGTTATAATATTTCTTCCATGGATCATTTGGATCTTTGATAACTAACGCACCCCGGAGACCATCACCGTATTGTATTGAAAAATGTGAATGATACCAGTAGGTACCTGACTGATTACTTGTAGAAAACGTGTATACATATGATTGATTCGGTAGTATTGAACATTGAGTGACACCTGGAACACCGTCCATATGCAATGTGTTTCGTTGTAGTAGACCATGCCAATGAATTGCAGTTGGTTCCTGTGATTCGTTGATCACTGTAATGTTAATTGTATCGCCTCGTTCAACAATAAAAGTCGGTGCTGGAAATTGATTGTTAATACTTAGAATTGGTCTTTTATAGGTGTCAGGTGATGCATCAATCCATCGAATACGAAATTCAGCTGTGTACATACGGGTTCTAACTATGAAAGAGGAAAAAAAACATCCTCTGACAAGATATTAAATCGAAACGACAGCTAATTCCGTCGTTTTGTTACTTTTTTCAAGTGTCTATCGAATATATGAAGTAATTTGATTCTCTCTTTCTATTCATTGAAGAACGAAAATACGAATCTTTCCTAATCGTCCAACAATAATCACATTTTCCTTAGAGAAGTATGTACTGCATTGAATTACTTCAATTACAATCACTGATCATTCATTTTTGAGACATACCTTGTTTGTTGTTCATGTTGATTTCTTTCTTAGGCAAGTATATAGGTATGAGAGAGATAACAATCATCGCTGCAGTAACACCAAGGAATCCCATGATATAACAGGTATCAATCCACGATATGAAAATACTTTGCTGTTGAGACTTAAAGACATTTTTATTTGAAGTATCGACCATAACTATTTCTGATAAATTAAAGTGTTTTTTTCTTCTGTATAAATGAAGATTTTTCGCTTTTCGTGCAAAGACCTACTCTTATTTTGATATGCTGTTTACCGAATTATATTTAAATAAAAAAGTGTTACTTTTCGTTTGTGTCAGTTATGAGCTCTGATACCACCTTTGTCAACTAGGAGATAGAGCTCAACATTGTCAAGTCATAGTCAGACATGAAACAATTTTTAGTAACCCAGTTTGCTTTGAGGCAGACTCTAAACTATGAATAATATCTGAAATTTTCAAAGACAACAATTATTATTGGCAAATCTTAATCTTAGTATCTATTGTAACAGGCACTAAATTCAAACCGTTCGAGTTCAATTTGAATACGAATTTCGAATTCAATCTTATAAAGTTTGACATTAAAATTCACAGTTGACATTGAATTTGGTACATATCTAATATCCATGAAAAAAAAATTAAAAAAAAGGTTTGCAATGCATTTTCTCTAATGATAAAGCAAAGAAAAACATTTCCAAAACGTTATTCTATACAACTCATTTTTGTACACTCAACACGGACTCTTTCTGTACATCGACGTGTTCAAATTATGAAACCTATCTTTTTATCTACAGTCAGTCATGTTCGAACATAGAACGTTCGTTTGAGCTTTTTCGAAAGAATTGGACATAACTGAATGTTTTATACTGTTACAAAATAGTTTCGAATGATATTATAAGAAAATTCTCCTACTAAATGCACTTGTTTTTTTTATTATCACAGACATGTAGACTAAAAAATGTATCAAAAACGACCTCAAGCAAAAAAATATCATTGTAATGTTTATTTGTTTTTTAGAATATGTTCGAAACTCGTTTTCTTTTCGATGTTTTTTGGAAAGAAAAAATTTTATCCATATTTTGAACATAACAGATTCTTAGTGTTATGTACTTTTGTTGTGAGATTTCAAGCATACAAAATGTAATTTTTTTGAAATATCATCATTTCTGTGCGAATACTCGTTCAATCATGGCAAACATTACAGAGCATATACAATTTTTGTTACTCTATCACATTGTGAGACAATCAAGTCAAAATCTTTGATTTTAAAATTTTTCGAAGTTTTATAACAACCGGGTGTCTAACACGGTATATAACTTCTGAAAGCCATAATTTTATTAGAACGAGTCGATTTATCAAAAAAATTTCATGTTATAGACAGTTTTATTTTCTCTACACACTGATCAACGAAACTTAGTACCTTAGGTGGGAGGTGGCATACAACATCGGCTTGTTGATTTTCAGTGGTACGCGATATCGTATATATATATATCTGAAAATGGTCAACAACGTACGTTTATCGTCTCAATGATGAGAAGAAAAGATCAATTTCTTTTTACGCACTTACATTACTGTTTATTCGTATATGTCAAATGATCGTGAGTTAGTGAATCGAACTTGGGAATTTGTATCACTTAGAAGTTCTCTGAAATCAACAATTGCGCTGGTTTCAAGTCATCTTTTAAGCTTTCAAGATGAAGAAGTCATCAAAGTGATAGGTTTTCAAAAACATGCATGATGCATGCTCTTGTTAGAACACTCACTTGTAAGTGAAAAAAAAGACGAGAAAAATACAAAGCGCTTTCGTTCGATATTCTATTTTACTACTACAGGTGAAACATATAATGCTTCGGGCATGAACAACAAAGCAATCGATGACTATTGTCTGCTCAAGTATTGTGTCCTTGGTCCTTGACATATTTTGTCACCTACCAATCAATCATTATTGAGAATAGTGAAATTGATAATTGAGACTTTTCTCATCACATTTACACTCACGAGATTGAAAAATATTGCCTAGATAGATGCCCTGGAAGTCAAACGCCAAGATTCTTCAGAATTCTGTATATATATTCGATCTTTTTAAAAAGTTCTTCACTAATATCTTGATTAAATTTCAATTTACTTCAATTCGTGACTTTTAGACCAAGTGCTTTACGTACTACCCAAAGACCGAAATGTTTTGCACAGCAAGCATATATATATAAAATATTAATTATGAGATAGAGGATGTCCCATACGTTGTACCAGATTTTTTTATAGAATTTTTGATGACAATGAATACCAATCAAACTGAAACTTACACATATCGTACAACTTAATTTGTACTTTTATTGTACATATTTTATTTGGATTAAACTATTGTATATACAAAACAAACTAAAATAAACTTCACATATATGTATATAGCATTTTTCAGAGTTGCTTTTTTCGCATATTTTTTATTTGGGTTCGTTTACATTTCGTATCGAAAGAACATAGAAGAGAGTGATCATGCTGTCATGTACGATGGTGACAAGAAAAAGAGAAGAAATCGTTCATGATATCGATGTATCAAACGGTGCAGCGCGTTCCGAGCTTTCTTCCTGTTTATAGTTGCTTAATAAACAAAAGAAGTATAGTAATAAAAAAAAACAAAGGGGGAAAATTCAATGTGCTTCCACTGTATATTAAGTTTATTTATTTATTTTTGTGCATACAATGATTTAATCCAAATAAAATATATACAATAAAATTACAAATTAAATTGTATGATATGTGTAAGTCTGAGTTTGATGTGTATTCATTATCATCAAAAAAGAGATTGAAAGCAATTTGGTACAACTTATAGAACATTCTGTGGAGGTAAGTTGCTCGAGAATGTTCACTCCATAACATATTTTTAGTTCTAATTTACTTGATAAAAAAAATCGTTTCCAGATATCTCAAATTCTTCGAATATCAGTCAAGTAATACGACGCAAAAATTCTAATGGTAAAGTTACTCTCAATGTACAATGGCATCTTCATTAATTTATTAGCCTTGTATATCATCATGTAACGAAATTACTAATCTCTCTCAGAATTGCATGAGGAAAAAAACAATGCTAACAAGATGCGTTAAAAACGTATTAATTGGACATTAATTTTTATCAATTCATTCCTTCCTTTTCACCATTACTCTAATAAGAACGGATAGATGTTGCTTTCACTCATCCAATCATGTGATCAAAGAAAAAGATCAAGATGTATTCTGTCGTTTGTTCAATTCCCTCTTTTCAAACCATGCGGTCACTAGACCAATCAAACGGCTCTATACAAATAGATGAACACTTGATGCCATCATACCACATAATTGGTATATTAGATAGACCAATACTCTGTTTATTAAGTTATTTTATCAGTAATTCTTTTGGAACCGCTATAGGTGTCATAGGGTTACGATAAGGTGAACTCACACCCACCTCCGTCGCAGAAAGAGTTGCTTTGCGTATCAAATTTTTTGTTCGTTATTTCTGTCTTTGTTATCTTTCTTATGTTGACGTGAAAAAAACACGAATTGCAAATTCAAGACAGTCTTTATGCAGTAGAAATCCTTTTGCTAATGTTAATATCTTGAAATGACACAACTGCCGTATTGTTTGTCGTTGCGGTGATAACAGTTCGTTTCTGTGAGTCGTAGGTTATCTCTTGCTTTTTTCCATTTGCAGTATTGCAGCGCAGTATATAATAGAAGTCTCTTGCGGCTCTGGTAAATGAATTACTATCTTTATCATCGTCATTTTTATAAGATAATATGCACAGATGAAATAGAAACTATTTGATTTCTTTTTCTACTTGAGATTAGGCAGTAAGAAAGAGTGATGCGTCTAAAGAGCGGACTAGTGTTTTACAAGATAGCCATCATAGTTTTGCACGGCTCTGATCGAAAGCAAAATGCTCGGGTAAACTCGCGTCGAGTCAGCCGTCAAAAAGAACGTGAAGTTTGAAGTTCTTGCTTGAAGTTACATACATTCTTGGTTCGTATTGTTTTCGAATATCACTCCCTTCTGGTAGCTGATGTACGCGAAAATTCTTTGAGAGAACATTCTCATTTCCTAGATTTTTCATAAGGAAAACATATATCATTTTCGAGATCGGACAACAATTTTCGTGCGTGTCTGCTTGCATGGACAGTGAACCTACGATTTTTGGAAAGGTACAAGTTATCTAAAACGGCACACTTATATGGTAAATTATTTCTACGAATATGATTCTTTTCCCAAATAATATTAGAGAACTAGGATGTGGGTGTAAATCTTCTCTTCAATCACAAACACATTCATACCGACATCCACATTCACAGCTTCCAAATCAATTATTTTAAACAAAGACATATGAAACCTTGGAGAATCACACAAAATTCAAAAAATGCAATCCAAATATATGAAACAGTCCTCAAAATCTCAAATGTTTCACTGAAAAATCCTTATGTAACCATCCATTTCTCACCCCGAAAATATTTCACGCATCAATCCATGCATAATTTGATGTTCTATCACATGAACCGAGCACTACTTAACAGAAAATGATTTCCCAACGCCCAAGAATGAGCTAGAATTGGCTATACACCATCAAAATTGTGACATCTGCAGTAGTAACTTCGTTTGCTTCGCTTTGCCTTCGTTTGACCGAAGATGGAATGAATACCAAGTCACGTGAAACATGATGGACTATCCGTTACAAAGCTCATTCTTTCTCGGCAAATGAAAGAACAATAGTTGTCAAGGAATCTTCGAGGTTCATGGAGATTTTGAAGGAGTATTTCTACGTTTTGAGCTTCATCAGTAGTTTGTTCAGAGAGAGTCAAATGCGAATTCGATGACCGCGTAAATTCAATGTTTATTTGTTCGTGTTTCGCGCCTACACGAAGGACTGTCTCACAGTGGAGAAATATGTTTAATCATGCAGTCGTTATAACGGATTGCATTGATTGATTGATTAATGATCAATAACGGAACGAGGATGGCTGTTAGAATTCTTATGGAAAGGATGTACATACACATGAGAAGAATGTGACTAGATTTATTGTTTTTTTTATGCAATCGTATTCAAAGGGGTATTATTCCGGAGTATGTTTGTCCGGTGAATAGGCCCTCGATTTGTGGATGCGGGAAACAGGCGTTATAGAGTTCAAGAAATGGCACGATCATGAATATTGGATATATGCGTTGCTGCTATCTTCGTCAATGTGCCACCTGTATTGTAATTTTTTCATTGGCTCATTTTCGACCTCCAATAGAATCACCATTATGAAAGAGAAGAATATTTATCTGTCTTTGCTTGCAAGATTTTTTCTCCTCTGGCTATTTTTTTGTGCATAAATGATAAAGAACAGATATATCAGTTTGTTAATGTATAGAAAAAGAAAGCGAAACTTGTTTTTACAATCATTGTTTCTCGAAAGAATAATCTACAAACGAAAGAAGACAGTTTATAAACGAAATACAAATGTAAATTAGTATGGTCTAGTTTTAGATCATTAGATTATGGAAATGTCATTGATTGTTGCTTTAATTATTGGTACAGGTCATGAATTAGAAGATGAAATAGCTTATCAATTAGGAAAAAAAGGTATATGTGTTTTATTTTGTGGAAATAAACTTGAAGGAGTAATCAAGACATTAAATGATGAAGGTATCGAACCGAAATTTATTGTATTTGATACTATTGATCTTAAAACAATTGACAGAGTGATTGGACAAATTAATGAACAATTCGGAAAATTAGATATATTAATTAATGTTGGAATCTTACTTGATAATGGTCAATTTAAAATAAATATCATGTTACGGCAAGGATTTGAAGCAAAAGGATTTTTTGATACATTGACTGTATCACAGGCATTTATACCTTTGCTTCAAAAATCTCCTTCCAGTTGTGTAATTAATGTCTATGGTAAAATGAATGATCAGAATTCCAGATTGAAATCATTGACTGGATTATTTCAGGATTGTTCATCAAAAATTGCATTACATCAATTTATCGATCATTTTAATAAACAATTTAGTAATACAAATATTAAGATTAATTCTGTTACAATTGGTGATGATAAGAATGTGCAAACCATACAAAAAGAAGCTAATCGTATCGTTCATTTAGCACTTTTGCCTTTTGTACAACCTTCAAAATCTAAGACAATGCGTATTCTTTACGGCGTGGTGGGAGAGGGAATGGGTCATGCAACACGAGCTAAAGTCGTTCTTGAAATGCTCATGATGGAACAACATCATGTTAAAGTGGTGGTGAGTAATCGTGCATACAAATTTCTTGATGAAAATTTTTCAAATCGATTTTCACGTTGTGCCACAGCGAGGGAAGGTGAAGCAGCGATAGATATAGTTGAAATCGAAGGTTTAACAATGCAATATGTTAATAATGTATTTGATGAGAAAGCTTCAGTATTACACACCATGCAACGTATGCCAAATATGCTTCAGAAAAACATGGGTGCATATTATCAAAATCTTGTTTTTTGGAAGCCTCAAGCCGTTATTAGTGATTTTGACAGTTTTGCTTACATTTTTGCTAAATCACATGGGCTTCCGATTCTTTCAATCGACAATCAACACGTTGTGCAGCGATGCTTAATTCCAGATGAAGCTAGAGAATCTAATCCAAAGGCATTCAATACATATAAAAGTTTTGTCAAAGCTAAACTTCCATATTGTGATCATTACATCATTACTGGATTTTTTACTCCCGAAATTCATAATAACTACAAAGCTAAAACAATACTTGTTCCACCAATTCTTCGTCAGGCTATTCTTGATGCCAAACCATTACCATCTGAACATGGTGAACATTTTCTTGTTTATCAAAGTAGCAAAAGTGACACGTCTCTTATTTCTACTTTGCAAGCTTTTGGTGAAAAATGTATTATTTATGGAATTGGTCGTGAAGAAAAAATTGGTAATCTGGAATTCAAAGGTTTTTCTGAGCAGGGTTTTGTAGATGATTTGGCACGTGCCAAAGGTGTCATTGCCAATGGTGGCCTTTCGCTTATGAACGAAGCAGTAAGCTTACAGCGACCATTTTTTAGTGTACCGGTCGAGAATCAGTATGAGCAAGTACTTAACGCATGGTATTTACAAAAGCTAGGCTATGGAGTCTTTGCCGATAAAATAGAGCTTCAAGCACTTCGCGATTGGGCACAAAACATTCCAAAGTATGCAAAAGCCCTTTCAGACTATCACCATGATTCGAATATGCAATNTGAAAGAATCGGAAGCCCATGTGATTTAGCAAAAATGTAAGCAAAACTGTCAAAATCACTAATAACGGCTTGAGGCTTCCAAAAAACAAGATTTTGATAATATGCACCCATGTTTTTCTGAGCAGGGTTTTGTAGATGATTTGGCACGTGCCAAAGGTGTCATTGCCAATGGTGGACTTTCGCTTATGAACGAAGCAGTAAGCTTACAGCGACCATTTTTTAGTGTACCGGTCGAGAATCAGTATGAGCAAGTACTTAACGCATGGTATTTACAAAAGCTAGGCTATGGAGTCTTTGCCGATAAAATAGAGCTTCAAGCACTTCGCGATTGGGCACAAAACATTCCAAAGTATGCAAAAGCCCTTTCAGACTATCACCATGATTCGAATATGCAATTATACAAGACGGTGAAAAGAGTTCTCGAAGAATTTAATAGAAGATTCATATGGTGGGATCCATTGAAAAATTTAAAATGAACATCATCATTTCGATTAATCACTTAAACATAAAGTTCTATTTACACAAGAGTGGCTTCATTTATCGTAATTAGTCATCCCAAAAAAATTATATGATTCTTTTTTTATTTTCCGATCACAGAATATTTCTGTTGTATTTTATAGAAATAAAAGGAAAAAAAGTGTAGAAAATTCGAAATAGGATTTACCACACATGGAACTTCCTCTATTTTTTCGCATTTCTTGAACATAATAAAGTCATGCAGTATATCAGTCAAGTTCGATTGCTTTGTTGAAAAGAAGTCTAACTTCACCACAGATTTTATAATTTCATTCAATATTCGCAAAAAATTTGAGAGATAGTGTGTAATACAACCTGTGACAAAATGAAAGGAAAGAAGCGCCAGTGTTCTTTGCCAATGATGCTAACAAAAAAGTCGATAATTAACTAAAGCCAATACTGGTCATGACCTTGCCTCAATAAAGATGTTACATTATTTATCGTGAAATTTCTTTCTTACTCATGAAATCTTTCTGCGGTTGTTTCTTTTCTAGTGACAATGAAGCATGAAAATATTAGTCGTGAGCGATATCGAATACATTCTAAATCAAATATATTCTAACTTGCATATCTGAAGCATAATCCACAATACAGTTTATAATCGGTACGACATATCTCCACTCTACTATGAAAACGAGTTCTTATTGAGAGTTCTTGAAAAACTTTTTCCGTATAACTATTTCAGCTAGAAATGCTTTGTAGAGACCCTGATTTTTAAGCAAACTAAACAGATGCAGGTCTAAACAAGAACAGCTCATATGTTTATATTTGAGATACTTATCAGTCTCTACAAGACAGAATGCTTTTGAAATCGTTCTCAGGGAGCGACCACTATCAGAAGTTGGAAGTTTTATATGTGTAAGGTATCACGTGAAGTGGCCGACCATTAACAGGCAACATTTTTATCGATTGGTGGTGGAGTTTTGTTTTGAAAATTTGAAATCTCAACCAATCAGTCAAACGAGACTCCGGAAACTACCGTGCGACTTGCACCGATAAAGTGGTTTGGATAATGTTCAACTAGAATGTGTGTGGAGGTTAGAGCCCTACATCGGTTCCGAACAACTTTTCTAGACCTAGCGTGGGGTGGGTGTGGGTGTAAATGTGCGTAACGAGGAAGAGAAGATCTACATCCATACCCATACCATACATCCTGCACCGACATCCACACCCACATCACATCACACCCTACTCTTAGCAGAAAAAATCGTTCTTAGAGATAATGAAAGCTTACATTTTGATACCTCTGCAGAATTTATAAATCACGTTTACTGATCAGCGTTCAAGTATAACGGAAGAATGGGATGTCTCCTGGTGAGGATGTAGTTGTAGATTTGAATCTTCTCTGTCATGTGAAGCACCTCTACTCACACACAAACACCCAAAACCAGACCCTGAATAAATTCTGAAATTTTCTCTTTTCTCTCTGCGACCGTTGATGTATTATGTACTCGCATTAAAACGCATTTTCTCGTTCTTCTTCTCATTTTTCTTTTGAAAAATAATATTTAATGTTTACTCAAATAGAATAAATGAAATAGCAACTATCTTAAATGAATTTTGTGCACAAGTCGTTACAATTCTGTTCTTTTTTTAAACAGAAAAAGTAAGTGATATGAAGTCGAGTAATTGTTGTTTCAGAAATGGAAACCATCGATGCTGTATTTACCGCTAGAGAAGAAGAAAAAGGTGACAAAAAAGTGCGGAATACAATAACTTTGGTTATTTTGTTTTCGGTAACTTCTAAGACTGGACATTATTCTTCTTCGACTCTTAGTGATTGAGTCTATCATGTCCTCATACTTTTACACGAAATGAAATCTAAGCATAATGACAGATTGGAGATTGTTCAGGAGGTTTTTGAGAGAAGCAAAAGAAATATTTTTCAAAAGGTACATTGTTTCGAAGTGAAAATGAATATATTTTTTTCGAATAACGTGTGCAGAAATTTATTAGCCATTTGCGCCTATAACATACAGAAAAACTAGTCAAATCGGTGATCATCGATTCAGCACGATGAATCGTGTCTTACATGGAGTGGCTCATAAACAGTTTACGTCTTTGCTGTCTCTCTCTCTTTATCCCTCACCATCTTCCACTGTCTCGTTTTCTTTGTAAATAATCATAAAGAAATGATGCCATACTGCCTGCTAGCAAAGCACCCTTAATTGTATACAGCTTGTTTCTCCTTGACATTCCCCATTTCATGGATCATACATTTGTTTTTTTGTTTGTTTGCTGCAAAATTTGGAAAAAAACATTGTCGACTTTACTGATAGTTTTCAAAGAAGAAAAATGAGAAGAAAAAGAAACACTCGCGTAGTTTCGCCGAAAACATCAAATGGCATTTTTCTCTCTACGGAGGTAGAAAGAAAGAGAGAAGAAGAGAAAGCTTCATTATTTCAACAGTCTATAAATTCAATACACTTTTCATCATTTTTTAAAAGCATACCAATCTCTTCTAACTTATTACTCTGCGTCTCACTGCATTCCTCCAGCCCGCAGTCGCTCACCAAGTAAGAGGAGAGTATTAGGAATACGATCAGCTGAGGGATGAGTTATTTTCCTCCTTTTCTGATTTATCTCGAAAATAGCTAAACGCATTTCTCTTTCTCTCTCTCAACTTTATAGCCGTTCTCGTCGTACTTTCGATCACAACCGAAACGAATAAAATGTGTAGACATATAGGTTGTTGTGGATTCGGCAAACCATCTCCTCAAACACAGCAACAAATTGACACCGCAATTCATGGGCAAAACTCCAAGGAAAAAAAGCGACGCCCTATGGCTTTATTAATATTTATCCAGGTAAGAAGAATTGATTTAGTCTATTTTCGCCGAAGATGACTTTTGCGGAAAGTTAGTTTTCACTGAAGAAAACAAAGATCGCCGAATCATTTTATAACCGAAAATGAATATAAGCTGCATTTAATCAGCCTTCTAGACAACACTTATATTTTAGATAGTTAGTCAATGATACCAAGCCAGTTCGTCTTCGAGTGAAGAGACTATCAACTCAGATCGCTACTAACTCAGTTGGTAACGATCTGATATGGTAGCGGTCTGATTTGTTATTTAGTCCAACCGACATAGAAGCCATCTCACTTGGAGACTAACTGGCTAGGTAACATGGACTAATTATCTAAAATATTGGTGTTATCTATAAGATCGAATAAATCCAACTTATTCGTTTTCGGTGATAAATCGATTCGGCGATAATGGAATCGGCGAACTTTTTTTTCGGCGAAAATGGAAATTACCAGAAGAATTTTCCGACGCCCATTCTGTGAAACGACTCGAGTTATACGAAAAATTCGTCGAAGGAAGAAAACATGGAAAGATTGAGGAAAATTGTTAGAAGTAAGAATTATTCTTTTTCAATGAGAAATGCAGTTCGTCATTAGTTTTTCCGAGTGTAATCGGTTTTTCGAGGGAATGAGATTTTTCCAGTGAATTTTCACGAATAATGATGAACTTGTTCAAAGTTCTAAAAATGGTGACCGGTCTCTTTCAAGGCCTGAAAAGGTTACTAATTTCTTCGGTTATGATCGAATACATGCTAGAAAGACCCAGCCGGAGGGTCATGCCTTTGCTTGTTCGACTACAACTGATAAAATAATTTCTTTTTGTCGGCTCTTCTCTAGAATAACGTACTCTGCATTCGAGCCGGGCATGAGACCATGACGCACCGTGAAGTAGCATGAATTGCATAGTAGACATCTCTGCAAGTTTCGTCTTCAGACTTTTAGATCGACGCCAACGAGCTCTTGTTTAAACTCTAACTTTAATTTTGTTTCATCTGCTTTTTCAACTAGGCGTTCGCACATCGGATAACAAATATACTTGTCCAATGCTTGCTGTTCATCTCTATCGTCATTCACAATACAAAGCGAAACTCGCTCAAGATAAACGTACGATCATCGTCGATAAAAACAATCAACAATAAGCTCATCAAGGTCCACAACAATTGAAAAGAGAAGAAAAATTCACTGCTGAAGAAGAATTGATAATGCTTCCAGTTGAAGATGTATTACTAATTAGCGTCAAATCAGAAATTAAAACGGGTATCCAAGCTGATATAAAATCAGAGATTACTCCTATTTATGCTGAAAGTGAAAATTGTTGTGATAGTCTACTCAGTTGTTGTCGTAAAACTCACGATTATTGTTGCTGCTGCTGTCGACAGAAAACCAAAGTTACTCCTTTTGTTCATAATACGACAACAATTTTCCATGATGAAGATCCGAATCGACGTACAAACGTTGCAGAAGAACATCTACCTGTTCCAAATGTGAAGGAAGATTGTTGTAATTGCTTTCGTTGTTGGTGTTGTCGAATAAAGAAGGTTGTTGATATCATTAGACGAACAAATACCGTGGCTGAACGAAAAGAACAACGTGTAATTATAATTACAATTGAATACAGCAAGTACAGTAATCTTGATACACCTTCAAATGCAAGTCTACTCACTAGTGAACAACAATCAGCCTACTACAAAGAGAAATTCCATCTGAATAAAGAACTACAGTTCTACGCAATCACCGATAAAGAATTGAATTCAAAAAGTTTTGAACTGAAAAGTAGAGAAGTTGAAGCTTTCTGTCGAACAGTGATGCAATTGAAGGGAATGAGAGATTATTATCCATCAGACAATGAATTACAAAAGATTATTGATCAATCCCATCAGAAAACAATTGGTGATGAATTTAATGAAGAGGTTCTGCAACTTTCGTTAGAACCGATGACAAAAGAAAGAAGTTCTCAGATTCAAAAACTACCTCAATAAACAGCAATTCAACAACATCAGAATACGATGAAGAAGCACAGAAGAAAATGGTTGAATAGAACATTATTATACGCAAAGATAATTTTTAACTGTTAACAGAACTGAAAATGTGAAAGAGAATCGGTAGTTTTGTATCGAATTTTTGAATAAACAATTGCTTAATTTGCCTGAAGGTGTGATTTCGAGCAGTTTAGACTTCCGAGAAGAGGAGAAAAAGCATTTCAGACTAAAGCAAAGTCTGAAAGCAAAACTACTATACACGAAGCGACCTAAGTTAGTTACCTGTCTAAGCGTGACAGAATCACTTTTTTTCACCTTGCGTTTTCAATGTCTCAATGAAATGAAGTCGGATTTTCTCACATACGCTGAAATTTTCATAAAATTTCAAGTTTGCATACTTCCTTTACGATTAATATATATGTACGTGACGAAATCATCAAAAATGAACTTGACTTTTGACTGTTGTTCAAAGAGTGAAATACACTTAGCTCAATTATAAATGTCATGAAAAACTTTCTCTAAAAAAGTGCAAAAAAAAAAGAAAGTTTAAATGAACGTAATACTAAATTTGCAGGCAGAAAAAATCGTTGTGATGGCATCATCATTTTATAAACGACGATGTTTTTTAAGATTTTTTTCTTCAAAAAGTTCCATAGTAGTACATCATAATTAAAAGACTGTTATTCCATAAAGAGAGACAATCAAGCGAATCAGTTTAAAATATCTTTCTAATGATATAAAACTATAAAATATAAACAAAATCGAAAGTCTAAACCATATTTTTCTTCATATTTTGAAAAACCAGCATATGGAATTAGGGATGCCAATGTAACATAGTTCATTATGGTCTATAAGATGCATTAAGCTGTGGCTCGATAGCACGTCAACAGTTGGGAATATTCCTGCATAAGTAGAATAGAGGTCTATAAAACTGAGGTTTTCAGTTTATTTAGAGTAACTCAATACATATCCATTATATATAAATTAACTAAAAGAAATTTCAGAGTCAAAAAAGATAAGCATTTTTATTGTACGAAAACACTTCTTTAACGAATGAATTTATCCATATGTACCCGTTCTGATGTAATACTCGCTTATCTTTTGCAGTCAAACAAATTTGACAAATGACAAAAAACTTCAAAAAAACATATTTTTCATCAATGCCATCACTTCAGTTTTTACGATTATCTTTGGATTCGTGCAGATTTAACACGATCATTTTTGAAATAGGGTCAAGTTCGATACAAGGTCGAGAGTGTCACAGTATCGAAGATCAACATCCAAATCTACACCCACATTCCACTCTTAGAGTTAAGAAGAGAGAGATGTTAATTTTAAATTGACTTTAATTAAATTGATCATGATGTGAATACTTTTCTTCCTAAAGGATAGAACTGATTTGTTTACGTTCTAATTTTCTTAGACTAAGAAACATAAGAAAAGACGAATAATTACATTTCTACTCAAGATATCTGTTTTTTATTTATTTTTCTTGCATGACATATCGAAGTCTTGTTAAAAACTGCATGAATTCAGCTCAGAACCCAACGGATTCGAATCGAAAATGAAGTTGATTTTCAATATTACGAACCGAGAGTGAGTATAAATGTGAGTTTTCGCTTCAGTCACATCCACATCCAATTTCTAATTCATTTTCTCTTCATTCATCGAAGACATATGAAAGCAATCAATCTCATTGTGTCTTCGATGTTTCAAGTGATAATGTGTTATAGTTATTCTATCTCACTATGAATCAAAAATACATGAGTGATGAGAATGTTTGCATTCTCACAAATTGTTTCACAACAAAGCAAATTTCTAGCAAACGAATAATGTTTATTTTTTCATGAATTTTAGTTTTGGTAAAATACTCTTTCTGACACTGTCTATATAGTCTTTCATGATGATTCACCAACGATATTGTCCTTCAGATAATATGTAGATGTGGTAGGAAATACAGCGTACGAAGTTCACAAAAAAAAAGAAATATTTTTTCTTTTCTATCTCTGGCTTTATCGCTGATAGCAGAAGAAACGTAAATAATCTTTGAGTTGCTTTGGTAAATAGCAACGTCTTGTTTGTTATGCTATTAATGGCGAGAAAAAGAAAGAAAAAAAAGAATACATTTTATAATTTTTCTACATGAATTGTGTATAGTATACATGTTTTGACTGAGCCACATGTTTGTCCTATTTTAAGAGATTAACATCTGTGACAAATCATCACGTACGAATACATAGATAGTATTATAAAGAGTATTCCATCTCAACGCGTTTAGTAATAATCATTTGGAGACAGATATCATATTACGAAGATAAACGCAGACGATAATCTAAACGATAAGTTAAGATGAAATGAACGGGTACACGATGAGCGAAAGTACAATGACCAAATTGATTATGGAGCTACAACCATGAGCTATGCCAAATCGCTTATTCAACGCTTTCATTTGATCACTAATGCCAGCCTCGTTATATTGTTTGCCTTCTTCCCTTTCTAACTTGTGTCTCTCGTTCATAATCCTATTCACATAAAGAAAAGTATACAAAAAAAGAAGAGACATTTATTTCGTCATACTTGGATGTCCAACGTCCAACAATCGTTAAATTAATCAGTCCACCTATGATGCCAATAAAGAAGATGATACGAGCATTTCGATTTGATGTTGTCAACAAACACACCACACTAAGGATACTTTGTAATGAAAAATAGATGGGAAAAAGTTTGCTTTGGAGTAGACCGAATTGTTGACGTGGCAAAACTTTGAAAGCAATAGGACCACTAATGAACGAATGCCAGAGTGTGATACCTGTTACACAGGCATACGAAAGAAGATGATACGGAGCAGGAGAGCTGAGAATTGTTGCTACCATTTTTAAGTATGACGGTTATTGTAAAACAGGGATATGCGATGAGTCTTTGGTTTTTCTCGACCAATCAAAATGAAAAATAATATTTAGCTCACAATCGTGTGCTTTATGTTTATATATCATAATCTAAATTTACCTTGTAATTTTAACTTATGATATAATACTTTAAAATAATTCTGAGTGACATCTAGCAGAATACGAAATTCAGCTTTATTACGTATAGGATGATATCAAGCGAGCTTTTCATTACATGAATATTTAAATTTTGTTCTGTTTTAAAAAACTAATTTGATGTATAGCAGTATTATTAGAGGCATTGCTAAAGAAATTATGAGTGTAATGGCGAACATTAATATCTTAGCGACTGATTGTATAGTTATTGAAATGAGGCATCGTCTCGTTACCAAGTGTTGTCCATCGCTTTTCTAAAGCTGTGAATATATTGAATAAAGTCGATTTTAGTATTCTGAAGAGAGTTTGCAACGAATTTTCAGGTACTTTGAAAAATTTGCTGAGTAAAGTAGAACCAAAAGGGAAAAAATAAAAAGAATATTAAGAGTACAACTATTGTCGTCGCATGGCCGAATATTCGTAGATTCTTGTCTCAAACAACCACTCATTTCTGGTCATCTTGATTTTTCTCTGTACATCAATTCCGCTCAAAACTAGCAGAAATCAAGAATTTGAATCAATCAAAGGTTGGAAAAAAAATGAAAAATGACTATTTTATCGTTCGAAAGTAGTGATTGCCAAAAGGAATAGCAGTGCTGACCACATCATTCAATTGAGTTCGTGTTTGTTTCAATCAATAAAGAAATGAAGAAAAAAATAAAGTAAACTGCCGATTTTTGACAATTTGACTTTGAAGCTTAAGTATTTCATAGATACTTAAACACATAACTGGACAGTGGCGTATGCAGGGGGGGGGGCGAGGGGCCCGGGCCTCCCCCCCCCTTGAGACGAAAAAGTCCTGAAGGGGGGTACAGGAAAAAATATTTTCGCGTGATAAAAATTTTTTTGTGTCATGGCGGGCCCCTCCCTTACGTAGTTGGGCCCCCCCTTGAAAAATTTCTGCGTACACCACACTAACTGGATGACAATTTTTTGAATATTTTCATAAACCACTGGCATCAGATTTCGAAAAAGCCACGATTTAGATTGTTGAGTCTTTTTTCTCCTTCCAATTATACAAATTCGAACTCCAACGAGTAATATTTGCAACACTTTTATTCATTTTGTTGATGAAAACTTGAAATAAAAATACACAAACAGGCTTTAATTTGATAATATTCTTGTGTCTTTGCGCTTTCCAGTGTATGCTGTACATTCGAAGAAAGAACTTAATTTTTTTCTATATATTTCCGTTACTTTTCCAGTTTTTTGCAACAGTTGTACAGCACTTCACGACTGCACCCTTATTATAGTGCAATAAAGAAGGACAAAAGAATTCTTACTTTGTTTCTAACATCAGTAACAAATATATGTTTTTGTTTTAAGATATCAAAGGTAACATCGCCGTTCATATGTGCGGTTTCTCAATAAGTCCGAGTAAAAACCCGTTACAAAATATGTATATCTTTATTAGACAGATTTAGCCTAATTTTTTCATCATCTTGAGATGCCCATAACCAAGAGAAACCAGTGTGTGCAGCAAAGCTCGTTCTTTTACATTCCACAGCTCTCTAAGTCTTCAACATGAAATCAAAATTGAAAGTTCGATTCATACATACAAAAAGACTTGATTTTCTCTTGCTGAACGGCGACCTATAAGTTACAACCCATCAGTCTTTTCAATCAAAACTATCATCTGGATTTGTCGATTCGCAGCTATCTGATACTAGAAACGAAACAAATTTCCATCTAATCTATATTGTTTCTTCAAGGTTTTAGTATAAGCGTACATTCGATCCTGCGACTTGTACAAGTCCAATGGCAATTCTTAAATAGTGATCAAATCTACACCATCACAAAATGATAGGAGACTCTATTCCAAATTTAAAATGCTCCCGTTACGATATTAAAGTTTATCGTAGAAAAACTTTGGGAATTTAAAGTAGCCAACTCCTGAGAAAAGTAGCTCCCAGTTTGTTTTGGCTCTTGCTTCTGAAAGACTAAAAAAAAAGTCTAAAT